AACAAATCACACAGTTCTCGACTGCCCCCCATTTCAAAAGGTCACACACGACACACAAGGCATGACAAGGAGCTGGGTTGCGGAGGGTCCGCACCAGATTGCCGTTACTGTACCTTCCATCTCGTTGGGCAAAGCCCGCACCGGACACAGACGGAGGAGTGAGTGCCTCGTTGCTGTGATGGCTGGAGGGTGAGAAGAAAAGGCGGGCTCACCATCCGGTGGTACGGATGCATCGGTTCTATGCCCCGGCCTGTCATATGACAGACATCATTTCTGGAAACAATCTCGAAAACATTAAAATTGACGAACATTTTGTAACTGATACCTTCTGATGATGTGGGCCAGATGAAAGACGAAGGCTCGGTGGAGATTCGTCGAGGCCGCAGGAAGGTTCAGCCAAATTACTAGACCTACAATCCAGTACAATCTTTCCTTTCGCCTCTTCAATTGAAAGGAAAGGCCCGATAACAACCTTGTCGGCTGTTTTGGACACCGTTTCTTGTCGGATCCTGTCTTTAGTCTCACTGACAGACGTTCTAGCTGCCGACCGAGTCAATCCAACCCTTCTAATCACCACTCTCTGTCATCAGTTCGTGAGATATTGGGTCATTTAACGTGTCAGTCGGGCTTCGCACAGAGAGGTAAGAACAACGCTTCACTATACCGTCAAATTTCACTTAATTTCGTCTCAAAAAAAGCTTTTTTACCCAGCCGGGACTGCCTTCGTCTGGGCGCCATCCAGTCATTAACAGGACTTAAATTCGATCGGAATGCGGATGCTGAAATTAACATTTTTTAAAATAATTACTCAGCAATCATTAAGACAAACTTATATTTTTCAGATATTAAGAGAAACTGGGTTTCGATGAATCTCTTGAGATAATATTGTTAGGGGGACTTTCAGTTCGCATGAAAGTGAATGAAGAAGAGATTCGTTGGTCGATTTTACCAGATGAGGATGGATAAATCTCGTTGAACTGTACCCGTTTGGCTTTTATACGATATTGATTTTGACTCACTCAACGAGACTTCCTCCCCCGTTTCTGGTGAAAACGTGCTGAGCTTTCGTTCATCATTTGGTGGACATCATCAGAGCTCCGTTTCAATTATGTAAGAGTCTCACATTAACACTGGGCCAATAACACTATCCGGCTCTGTCTTGCTTCTTATATAGACTCAATTAGCCAAAAGAAAATTAAAAACCTAGATAGATCGATATATAGTGGTTTGGCTAATTATATTTCATACTGATCCTGTTACTTTTGCTCGATTGTATGAGTATGTGTATTTTAGGATCAGAACCTGATATTAAAACTTTTGACAACTCTGATTTAGGAATCGTATTACATATAGACAATAACACGCACAAATACACATACTCATACAATCGAGCAAAAATAACAGGACCAGTATGAAAGAAAATAAACCAAACCACTTTATATCGATCTATCTAGGTTTTTAATTTTCATTTGGCTCAATTGAGTCTATATAAGAAATAAGATAGAGCCGGATATTGTTCTTGCTTTAGTGTTAACGTGAGACTCTTACAAGAATGAAACCCAGCTCTGATGATGTCCATCGAAT